GCCTACGTGTCCTTTTTCTTCCTTTGCCTCGTTTTCTAACACCTGCTTTGCTCCCAGAGCTTGTGACAAATGCGCCTCCTCCGAGGTTAGCAGGGCATCTTTATTTTATGCTCAACTGTGTCATTACATTTAACCCAGTTCCATTTTTATTTAGCTTTTTGAGCCAGATGAGGATGCCGGTGTCTGAAAGCGCGAGGAGACACGTCGGGACTCGTTCCTCTGTCCTCTCAAGCAAAGGAAGGAGAAAGGCAGGTGGAGGTGGTGAGGAGGCGGGAGTTTGGGTTGACCTTCCCTCCTCCCTCCTGTCAGAGAGACGTCTGCTAGTAGAGCCATCGCTGGCAAAGGCGAAGGGAAAGGAAATAAAAACTGAAATGCTTAGTATGGGCGGAGAGGATGCATCATTTATATCCTGCTGGAATGAAATGAACTGTGGGTAGTTCTTGTTCCTGTATGAGACCTTATTTCATTCCTTCCCATCTGCTTTTTTAAGGCCTAATTTTTCATGGCAGCCGTCTGCGTGTTGTCAGGCAGTGTGAGGGTGGCAGAAGACGAGGTTAGAGTGTTTTTAATTGATAAGGCTGCATTTCCTCCCTGTGTGGCTGTTAAAGATATATTTTCCTCCTCGTGTTTAGTTTTAGTTGCATTGCCTGTGTTGCCGTTCTGCATCTGCTCGTCTTCGGCCTGCAGTGCCAACGCCAAAAATAAGGGTTGATCGGGTGTGTAGGAAACAGAATTACCTGATGCCGATGAAAGGCCGTTTGAAGTTCTGCCAAAAAAACATTTCTAAAAATAATTTCATCGCATGTTTCTCAGAAAAAGGCATGTAAACGGTTTCAGTGCGTTTTTAATTGGTGGATAATCAGTCCAATTTACAGAGTAAATATTTGTTAATTTATATATTATTACATCACATTTTGGGTCATTTAGACCAAAATACTCAATTTTGCTCTACATGGGCCTGATATCCAGTTACGAGGACGTTATGCTGCTGCTGTTCTATCAAGCTTGTAAACGAGTATCCTCATATGTGGCTCTCATTTTTCTTAGAAACAAAAATTAGGTAAAAAAAATAAATCTGGTAATTCTTTGTTTTTACATTCATCAGGTCCCAATCAGCCCAAATATCAAAGAGAAATTAAAACTGCTGCTGTGGAAGAGTTCAGGTCTCAGGAGGTTAAGCTACCTTCATTGTGTTGATTAACAGGACGACTTTTTTATCAAAGAGCAGGACGAGATTGAAGGAATCTGAGAACATGAGCACCTGTTGCCTATTTTTGAATTTTGCCACATGTTTTGGTGCAATCCTCCAAGATAATAAAACACTAACACAAATACATAAAAAATATTGGATGCAGCAGATCGTGATATTGCTGTTAGTTTGGTTTGACTATTGCAGATCCAGCGGCCTAATATTTAACCTAATATCACCTCGGCATCAGTGACCAAACATTCATATTCTACAAAGTTTGGTTCGTTGAGGGGAAAAAACTTGGAAACTGTGGCCCAACTTTAGTGTTTCACACTATGAGAAAATTTGAATCACAGTATTTTTTAAGACTGTTGCTTCATAAAGTCGAAGGAGGTTAGAATTAACATGATTTCTGCATAATTGAGCTTTTATAAATGTATAAGGACTGTGTGAATAATAACGCTCTTTAATGCCAACATTAAAAATAAAATAAAACCACATGATTGTTCGACATATGACTACAAAGTTGGTCCTTGACAGGTTGCTTCTTTTGTTGCTAAACAGAGAACATTTGGCCCGTTGGTGTCAATGTTTCCACAGCAGAACTTCACACGGACACGTCGCTCTGTCAGGAAAAACATCCGTTAGATTTGCCTCGCCTCGTTCCCCTCGGCGTTTGTGGACGAGATGCCAGAGTCTGATTTTATAAAGCCGGGGAACTTGCAGACAGCAGACGCAGCTCCTGTCTTTGTCACAAGTTTCTTTGATCCATCTCTGGTCTCCTGTCGATATGTCTCCACAGTTTGCTCAGCTGTTCACAGACTGTTGTGCTACCTGACTGCCTAGCATTACCCAGCATGCTTTTCATTAGTGAAATTTTATAAACGTGCGATGATCTTATATATTTATATGATTTTTAGGTTTAGAACCATTATTGAGGAGGGTGCACAGTTGTACCTCCTGTCACTGTACTCTACAGTCCTACTAGTATTCTCGAGAGGCCACAGAGGACATTTTGCCTTCTTACTGACATGGTCAGGTAAAGCTAAGGTTTAGGCCCCGCCCACAGTGGACACAAGACTGGTCAGTGAATTTTTTGCAAGCTGTGAATAGTTGACGAGTGGTTGCTGGAGGTTGGTCGCAGTGACTAGTGTGAAATGATTTGTGTACGGTGCTGCACTGAAAACCTTGCCATCGCTGTGGTTGCCAGCAGACTCCTGGAGTTGCCTGTATTTTGCACGGAAGATGCTGACGTGTCTGCAGACACTCGGAAACTACTCGCTATTCTGCATTGAAACTGCGAAAAGTGCGACGCCAACCAGAAACGGTGTCTGCTCACCTTCACAATAAAAGTTTGAAATGTGTGCACAGCTTTTACTGTGAAGGCAAACGGTCTCTGTTTCTGGTTGTTTCTTACTTTCTCCAAGCTTCACTACAGTCTGGAGAGAAACTGAGAAGTGTTTGTACAAGTCGGCAGCTTTCAATCCCGGGTGGGTCCGGTGGTGCTGCACCCTGCTCAACACGACGCATTCAGTAGATGCGATCAGTGAAACTTTATCGATATGTCATAAGAAAGTGTCGGGCGTGAGTCTCACACCCACACTGTGACATTACAGCAACTCACGTTTCCAAATGTCAAGCGTTTAATCGGTGCATAACGCGTTTCAGCATGTTCGCTGCTTGTGCGAGCAGTCAGTAGATGTTGCACATGGCAGGACCAAAAACTGCGCCCACATTTATTTCCTGAATAAAAAATGATCTGGAGTTTGAGGAATCAGGGTCACAGAGTGTCCCACTTCTTCTCAGGGCTCTGTTTGCCCCAGAGCTGATTTCAGCTCAACGTTTAGTTGGAACCAGGCGGAGAATGCTGGATGTCAGCTACTTCTATACATGCCAGCACCGTGGGTATGGTGTCTTTGTGCCTCTGCTGTGTGCTGCGTCAGGACTGTGAGGATTAGAGCTAAAAGTATATGTAATTAACTCAGATCTACGAGCAGGTTTCGGTGTCTTTGTGACGCGTCTGTTTTTATCTGGTGTGCTCCCTTTGCCTCCCTTTCTGCTTGCCTAAAAACCATCTGGTGCTCTGGTCAGATCTGCCGTCCCGCTGCACGGCTGCCGTGGAAATCTGCTCAGGCAGGATTTATTAGTAGTGGGTTAAAACCTGTAAAATATTCTGACAACGAGGACCAGCATTTCTCTGAAATGTTAGGATAGTGTTTTATAAATATCGAGGTTGGCCAATGATAATCATTTGAGGTACTGACGAGAAGTTGTTGGGTTTTTATTAAATAAATTGATTGATGTGCTGGTGTATGACCTCCACCGCTGACTCCGCCCATATTAAAGGCCAAAGATGATGAATCTTACGGTGGCAGCGCTGCAGTAGTCGGTCATTAATCATCTTCAGGAGTTTGTTTGTTTTCCACACTGTACAGCAGATATGAAAATATTGGCAAAGTGTAGTTTTGCTGGAAATCGATACACTAAGCATTGATATCCGTCGTGCAGCTGCTGCTCCGCAGTATTTCCGTCCCTCCTGTGGGCTCTCCTCCTCTGCCCAACACAAAGCTGTCTGCAGGCCTCCAGTCCTGCTGCTGAGCTAATTACTGAGGTGTGTGTGTGTGTGTGTGTGTGTGTGTGTGTGTGTGTGTGTGTGTGTGTGCGCATGCACACTCTAGGGCTTGCTGTGTTGGTTTCTGCATGTGTGGCTGTTGTCTTATGCCAGGTTCACCAGGACTGAGCTGAATCTCTGTGCCAATAGGAGAGGGCTGTTGTCAACACACACACACACACACACACACACACACACAAACCCACAACACCGGACACACACACACACACACACACACACACACACACACACACACACACACACAGTCAGCAGAATAACAGATAACAGGAACCCTGCGTGAGCCCTGGGGAAACTCTTGCCCCATTATGGATTCTCTTGCAAAGGGCAGGATGCTTTGTGTACACGTTGCATTAAAGTGTTTGTGTTTCTTTGATATAATTGTGTATGCAGGGGCTTAAAAGGTGCATGTTGCTCTGCTGCTGCAGTGCACTTCCTCCTGTCACCAGCAAATTAAAAATAAACCTCTCGTGAAAACGGTGGACGCACGACAAGTCGTATTTAAGCTCTGAGGTGATGGTGGTCACATGTTCTGATGTCGTGCGATCTTTGATTTTCCTGTTCGACCGCTCGCACAGACGTGCGTTGGCATGTGTGGCAGGGCTTGTGTGTCGGTAATAAATTGTAATAAACTGTTGCAATCCAGAAATGTTGAGCAGATAAGCAGAGTGTTTGCTGCATGCATGTTCAAACCTAAATGCACCAGTAGCTGTGCTGCGATGAAGTGCAGCACATGCACGTCTTTTTTTTCTTCTTTCTGTGGAGGTTACCTTGGTCTCTTCTGCCTCGTTCACTCCATCGATCGCGCTCTCTCTCTCCTCCCCTGTTCTTTCCTCCCCCATCTCCCCCGTGTCACCCCTCCTCCCTCCTCCCTTCATTCTCTGAATTTATCCTTTGAAGTCATCTGTGAAGCTCCTCTGCTCTCCCTCAGGAGTTCCCTTCCTACGCTCAAAGTGTCTCAAGAGTTTCTACAAAGCTGGACTTTGCTGAAATCGTTTACATGCGTTTTGCTGACACTTTGATAGTTTGTCACAGGGCAGAGGAGAATCTTTGACGTTTCCACATTTTATAGAGTTACAAAACATCCTCTGGGTCATTTTCCTCTCCAGCATGTGGAGAGAAGGGGAGAGAGAATCTAGACGTCACACTTTTCTCTAATGCGGCTCTACCTCTTTCTTACAGATTGCTGTGACGTTCTGAGTGAAGATGGCATTATTTCAGAACAACTTCTGGGTAAGTGTCTTGAAAACCTCTTGAGTAACGCTGCAGGGCACGTGCAAAGATCTCTAACTGAACTTGGTCACCTGTGGTAGCTGATCACAGCTATGACTGACCCAGCTTCTCATTCATATTCTCCACAGACAGTCGTGCCTCTCTGTTGTGCATCAGGTACAAACAGGAAGTGCTTGTTACCAATAGATACCAGTCTTTTATTTAGATCTCAGCTTTCAAGCAGTCTCATTTAAATTCTGCTTCGAGGCAGAGATGATGGTGATGAATGGCTTTTAACTCGCAGTTACTAGTTATTATGTTAAGACTTTATTTATTTAAAAGAACTGTTATGTGGCAGATGCTGTTGATGGGCATCAGTGATTTTTGGCAACTTGGTTTGAGGAAACTTATTTTATTTAAAAAACACATTTTTCTGGTGAATGTCAGAGATGGCAACGTCACCCGACACTCTCCCTGTCACTTCTTTTCATCTGTTCTGCATTTCCTTTTATTTTTGGCTGGTTTATAAAGAAAAATAAAAGCTTTTCAAACCCACTTTAAAAAAAAAAAATTGGTATAAATATGTTTGTCCCAGTCCTGGCGATTTATCTGTTGGTGGAAAATCAAAATCCAAAATCTTTGGTGGGAACCTGAATATTTTTATATGCAAAAAAAATGCTGCAAAAGGAAAAGTCCAGTTATGTTATTTCCCTCCAGTCTTCACATTTCACCCGTATCTGTCTTTGCACACAGAACTTAACGAGCAGGCGTCTGTGGACACGTCTCTCTTCAGATAACAAGCGGCAAAAGTCGCCCACAGACGTGCTCCCGTGCAGTCCTCCAAAATCTAGGTCTTGTGTCTGTTTGCGAACCACAACTGTGCGAACACAAAAACTCAAACGCTTCGTTTAACAGATTCCCCGAGCCGGCGCCAGATGTTTACAGCGTCTCGCCTTGTGTGTTCACCGCCACTAACTATACATCATGTCATGAATCATCCTCTAATATGACATGTAAGAGGAAAAAACAGGGTAATTAAAAGCCTGACAGCGAAAGGATTCATAAGCTCGGATTAGATTACACTCGGTTTTGCAAGTATTGAAAAACTAGTATGACTAATTATGGCATTAATTGGCTTAATTTCTCCGTGAATAACGGCCTCATTAGTAGTCTTACACCAATGTACGAAGCACAGGAGTGAAAGTCTCCCACATGCCTCTGTGACTTTGTCAGCTGACAGCTTTTTCCTTCTCTCTTTGTCCTCCTCTTTGCTTCTGTCCCAGCCTACCTAGTACATCTATTTCAGGTGTGCCCTAGTTTTTGGCCTAACAGACAGAAAAGTTTTGCACATTGAACTAATATTTCCAGACTTTCAATTAAGGTGCAGAAGACACAGTTTATAACAGAGACTCTCGAAGTTTAGTTCATTGAGCCGACGTGCGGTTTAGGGCCAGAAAAGAAAAATGACCCATCTAAAGCCACTAATTTATAGCTCCAGAGAACCTGCACAGACGGGGGAGTCCAGTAGTAGTTAACTGTAGCCACACCCCTTATTTCCCATCATGCCTCATTTCCCATCACTGACTTAGTAGTCAGTTGTCTGTTTTATGTTTCAGTGCAAGTGATTCTTCAGAGGAAGCTGGTTTTTGCTGATGGTTGGAATCTCTGTGCCGTCACACCACCCATATTTGGAAACTGTATATTGGTATTAAACAGTATTTTATTTTTGCATGCAGCCTTATTACCGAGGGTCTCCTCCTCGTCATTGAACTTCACCCCATGATGATTAGGGATGGGTATCGAAAAACCGGTTCTTGTTGAGAACCGGTTCCCACTGTTTCAGTTCCTTGGAATTGTTTGCCATGTTTGCAAACGATTCCCTTATCGATTCCAGTCGCCCCGAATGACGTCACCACGTTGCGGAGCGTCATTTACCTGGCAGGAAACACGGCGGCTCAAACGCTCAAAAGTTTGGCTTTACTTTACGAGAACAGGGCAACTTGCAAAGTAGATGTTTCATTTAAGGGAGGAAACACTACGAATATGCAAAAGCATTTGCTCACAAAACACGCGATGACCTTAAATGAATGTCGTGTTTTTAATTCTGGACTCGTGAATCTCAACCCAGCAGCAGCGGTAACGTTTGCACGTCCTCTCCCGTTAATGCGGCAGGTAAATAATCAACTAACAGTGCATATTATGTTAGCGCGATCTGCCTTATTACAAACCTGCCATTACTGTGCATTTAGTGACCATGATGAGACAGAGTCTGGCTCAGATGCTGGCAGTTCTCGCTGCAGTCTGCCGGTAGCGTCTCCTTTCAGGCAGGATAGACGAATGTCACCGAGCAGTGACTCAGTTTGTGGTCAAAGGCTTGCACCCGTTTGCCACAGCAGATGATTTTCAGTAAGTGAATGTGTTTAATTGTAGGCAGGGACATTACTGGATATTCTTGTGTAATTGCTACAGAATAATTTATGTTATACTTTGTTATTGCTACAGAAGAATATTTATTTTATTATTTTACATTTACAATTTTTTTTCCTGGGGACCCTGTGACACCCCATTGAAGAGGCGTAGGCTGGATCTCTTAAGATCTCATGTTGGGTTTGTAAGGCCATGTTACTCCTACATTTCTATTTTGTTCAAAGAGAAGATATAAAACAAAGTTCTGAGCTGATCGACCTTAGTGTTCTCCTTTTTAAAAAAGAATCGATAAAGAATCGAATCGTTAAACAGAATCGAAAATGGAATCGTGAAAATCTTATCAATACCATCCCTAATGATGATTTATTGAACCCACTGTAAGCAGCTGCTATCACCTCTCCTGCTCATCTGTCCGTCTCTTACAGCTGTAGTGTTGCTTTGCTTTCGTGTTTTCTTTACTGGTGAATATGAGCTGTCGATTGTCTTTGTGTGTTTGTGCTGAACATATAACTGCAGATTTACAGCCAGGCAAGTAGAAAAGCAAAATCTAAAGAACAAATGAGGTGACGTACTTGTGTGTCTTTACATATTTCCCATTCAACCTGCTTTCAGAGCCAAATGGCTTTGAAATACAAACCACTCTCTAGTTAATTAGGCAGCACAGCCACTCGGGGACGAGCTACACACAGAGCCTCGGCTTGTTTGGCTCAAGAACATTCACAGCCACTCACAAAGCCTCCTCATAGCGCTCTGTCCTTTCCCATTAACTGAATGAAAGCTGTGCTTATGGTCCACAGGAGGAAGCGTACCGGCTGTAATTAAGTGCATCCTTAGCAAATTAAGGCGCTGCTAAGTCTTGGGAACAGAATGTGTTTCTCTGTAAGGATTCGTCACGCTCGATCGTTCCAGGAAACGTAATCGCACTCAGCAATAATCATCGAGGTATATAGAATATAAAATATCTCTTCAGTATGCTTTGATTTCGTTTGCTGGCTCTCAGATGTCATCACTTTGCGAGTGTGCCAAAGGATTGAGACAGTTTTTATTCTCTTGGTTCTCCCTTTGCCTCGAAGGTAGAGAAGCTAAAATAGTTTATTTCAGTGGATGAACTGAGCGGCTCCACAAAGGCCCAGAATAAGGAAGATAAATAAGGATTACTTGGCCCTGCGACTCATGCAGAGCTACTTCACTGGAGTCCAAAAATAAAGCAAAATATGGAGCTTAAATTTTGGCAGAATACGTCGCCATTAAATCTTCCCAATTAAGAATTTCATATGGTTTGTTGTTCTTTCCTTTTGATGTAATTCAAATAATTTAATATTTAACAAAGTATATTTTCTAATATGGATTAACTGAGTAAGCTTTACAGTTTGTTTGTTTTTTAAATGATGATGTAAAATATGGGCTATTGTCGTCACCCCGACAGGCAAGTTTGTGAGTTTGATATCTTAAAGATAAAAAGGTTTCAAATTGATCTCAAACAAGTTCAAATCGCAGTGACCTTGAAGGTTACATATATTTTTTGCCTCTGCGCCTCACAGTCCTGACGCAGCACAAACTCAATCTAGTCTGTTCCCAGCTTATAAACGAAATATTACATTTGATTTGATGCCATCACCTACAAAGTTGCACCATTTAGCATCGTTTTACAGCCCCGATAAAAAGTTTAAGAACACTTGAAAAATGGCCAAAAAATCTTATTTTGCACGGTTGGATGTTAACAAGGTTCCAAGTGGAGCTTCAACAAGAAGAAACGGGAGAGAGACGAAACATTTCTTTGAGCATGCGATTCGTTGATGACAACGCTTAAACTGATACAGGCCGTTTTACAGCTGATCAACAGTTCAGGACCACACCTAAAAAACAAGCGTAAACCAAACATGAACTCGGTAATGAGTCGCTCCACCGTTATTGTTGATCACTTCATCCTTGATGCAAGTGTTTCCATGAGGTGAGAGGGAGCATTTCTCCAAGACGGCCGCACGAAGCGTCCATTTTTGTAACTTCCCCAAAGGTTCTCTGTTGGATTTAGATCAGAGATGCAGGATGGTCCAAAAGAGCGATGTTATTCTCCTGGAGGAAGTCCCTTGTGTACTGTAGCGTTGTCCTGTTAAAAAACCCAGTGGTTACCACACAGACGAGGGCCCTCAGTCACGAGGGACGCGCTCTGCAACGTCTGGACACAGCCAGCGCCCGTTTGACGCTCCTGCACCTCCTGAGACTCCGTTGTTCACCTCACGGTGCACCTCAGCAGCGATGGCACGCTGCGAGAGACCCTGCTTATGCAGTTCAACAACACGACCATGTTCAAAAAGGTTTTTTGCCTTTGCCATCAGAGCGTCATGACAGAAAAGGACAATGGATCCACATTGTTGCACAGATTTGGCCTTTTAAAGGTCAACTGGTCCTAAACTGTAGATCAGCATGTTTCAGTTTAACAGTTGTTTTCAATAAATTTCTTCTTGCTGCATGTTGAAACTCTACTTTGAACCTTGCAACCATGCAAAGTAACATTTTTTTGCCATTTTTGAACTGGTCTTAAACTTTTTATCGGGACTGTATTTTAGAAAATAGCCACATAATCTGAATTCATT